CTTTCCTCCCACTTTCCATCCTTTGTGTGCCCCCCAAACTTGACCTGGATGTGGGAGAATGCCCAAAATACCACAGTGTGTGTGTGTGGAGGGGGTCAATCCCTCTGCCAAGCTGAAATGCTTGCACAGGTGGAACTTTTATCACAGAGTGACGTTGATGTCCTCCCCATGTCTATGAACCTCCCTTGCCCCCATTATATAATTTGTCCCAGAAGCAGCCCTGCTTAAGCCTCAAGGTACAAGTGAATGGCTCAGCATGTCAGACTTTGAAGATTCCTCAATTTCCAGCATACCATGATGTGTGAAGGCTTAGCAAATCTCCATGACATACTCATGTGTACACATGTACCATAAAATTATATATTACCTTGTTTAGAAAGGGTTCATTAGGAAGATTAATGAGATGGGTTTTCCCCCTTCTCACAGTCTCTCTCTCTCTCTCTCTCTCTCTCTCTCTCATTCAACAAGCACTTGCAAAGAAGGCACAAGCAATCCTTCTAGCTGTGGGAAGCAAGTAGCAGTTCTCCCCTGAGCTCCCAGCTCTGCCTTGTCCCCAGCATTTAACTGCTCGTTCTTTGAAAGTGTTATTCGTCAGCTTAATTAGCCCTAAAGGAAGCACTTGTTTCAAATTAGGACAACAGCTTTTCTGAAAAGGACATAATGACATTAATGATGGCAACTTGTTTAAATAATGGAGCTTTTCGGCTCCATTTTAAGTGAGGCAGGGCAAAACAACGATTGTTTTAACTCTGCGGGGAATTCTGATTCTGCTTTTGATATCACCTACATTTTTGTAATTATGTTTCTTATCTCCACCCCGCTCATTAACTCCACATTAGCATAATTACATTGCTCTTTGTGACTAAAATGTTGTGACAACAAGGGGAGATTAAAAAGACAAGACTTTGCCAACCTCCATGCCATGTATGAAGCTATCATCTTTTTTCGACTGTTTGCTTAGGATTGTCATCACTTCTTTCCATAATATTACCAGCAGGGTGGCCTTTAAGAACCGGCAAAGCTCACAAAAAGCTGAAAATCTCCCCCCTCACACACACACACCAAACCAGGCATGCCAACTCTTAGAGGCAGGGGTGTCTTTGGTCCCCTCAGTATTGGCTGACGGGGGTCAGGCCCCTCAATGTTGAGGGGGCAGAGGAGGCGGAGTGCAGAGCCAAGCACTGAGCATGAGAGAGGAAGCTGTGCCACTGGGCCTCCTCCCAATAATGCGACATTGTGTGCGCATCACACCCATGGCATCAGACACATGCGACGTACACTGGGCCCCCTCGGTCTTAGGCACAAAATGTTGCCTCTGCACACAACCACAGTGTGAAGTAAGAGCATGCAGCTATGATGCAAAGAATGGCACCTCCTCTACATGCCCACATTGATGGTAATGCATAGCTGATCCCATAACCCCATTGCTTCAGAAAGATGGTTGGGAATATCTCAAAGACTAAGTGTATGCATATGCAACCTGAACAGCTTCGTGTGCTGTTCAAATTGTGGGAAGAGGCAGGCACATTTTTGATTTCTTTATGGAATTCTGTGACCAACTCTCACTTCTGCCCCTGTGGACATAAAAAAGGAGCTTCTCGAGAAAGCATAGCTGGTGAGCTTCCGGGACGCCGCGGCCACGGGAAGGAGCGCGAGGCTGCCCTTCGGGGGGGTCTCGAACAACACGGTGTTCTAGAGGGGTCACGAAGGCTCCGTGAACCCCAAAACCTCAGGAGGATTATTCTGGGGGACAGAGTACCCTGCGACGCTGCTTGTGCTCGCCTGTGTTGTTGGCGTTTTACAGGGCTGGAGCTGCAGCATGAAGGGGAAGCAACAGACTCCGTGTTGTGAAGCCTCAGGCTCCGCGTGAAAAGCGGTGAACCTCCGACAACAGCCAAAAGCTGGGAAACAGCTAAAGTAAATAAGCTGATAACAGACAGAAAGCTTAACTAAAGAACCCAGCGGAAAAGAATTGTGTGGGGTGAAGGAGAAGGAATCCACTACTGGCGGTAAGAGTAAAAGGGAGTATGGCGGAAGACTGCGAGAGAGAGAAAGCATGAAAAGCTGCTGCTAAGTGGGCGTAGAGGAGAGACCTCAGATACAAAGTATAAAATACAAGGAATCTGAGGCAAAGTAACATTGAAAATATTTTAATGGACTAGAGATAAGAGAGAAGTGAAAGGAATTTGTCTGTTTTATATGGTCAGATAGTGTTGTGCCAGCGACCGGCTTGAGATATATTGGTGGGTTTTTTTACACCCAATTCTATGCCTGGTGTATTTGAGCGGAGACTGATTTAAGTATTACTTAAACAACGATTTCTACTCCTCTCATCCTCCACGTTTGAACAAAGGGGAGAGTCTGGTACATATTTAGCCCAGTTAAACGATTGAAAATCAGACTGATAATAGGAGGAGGGGAGACGTGGAAAGGCAGTATTCTTCCGGCGAGGTTTTGGAGAAAAAGTGAATGGCTTGGAGAAAGTAAACTAAAGTAAAGTAAAAACTTACTGGGTCTTTGCACCACCATTTTCCTCCCAGTCTCCACCCGTTTTAAAGAGACATACTCCAATATTTAAGTAGGAGAAGGCTGGACTATTAATGCAGCGGAAAATGATTGAGAACTCTTTGGCAAGAAAAGAAATTCAATAAGACAATTTGCCAGGACCCTCTGCCATTTACGGAATCCTTTTCATCGCGGAGTGTCTCTCCATTCGGTCCCGCCTTGCTCTCCTGGGTCCGCTCCCGGATCGAGACTCACCTCACAATTCTTCCAGAGTTCCAGAGAGCCACTACGCGATTACGTGACTTCACCTACCCGCCCGTGTATCTTTGGCGGTTACTTCTTCCTCACCTCCCCACCCACCCTTTATTTCCCTTTGGCCCTTCCTTTGGCCCTCTCTATTGTACGTCCCTGGGGTATCTTTTGAGACGCTGGTTTTCCCTATTTGTAACTGCTTTGTTCTCTTTTTTTTGTTCTTCTTTTTTGTTCTTTTCTCTTTGGTTCTCCTTTTTATTGGTTTTCCTTCTTCGGTTCTTTTAGCTGCTTTCTTTTTATTCCTCTTTGTTGTTTTTGCTTCGGTTGGTATTCAGCGTATCTTTGTATATTTGGTTCCCCCTAATTGTGTGATTGCTAATATTGCACAAGATTAGCTGCTTGGCCTTGTGCAGAAGGAGACATTCGGTTGATGAACTCTACTGAAGAGAAGAGAACTAAGACTTGGAAGGTCAACAAGGCGCCATCGTGTGGGATCAAAGGAAACTGCATTGGAAGAAATTAATGAGAGGAACAGGCCAGCAGCTCTCTTCAGTGTCTTACGGGGGGGGAAGTCTTTAATAATTAGTTAACTTAAGTTGACATACAAAATGAAAAAGGCGGTGGGAACACCAGCAGAAAGGAGGCCATCTAGACAAGAAGATGGGAAGGAGGGAAAAGAGATCAAGGACTACGATAGTTTGATGGCTGAAATAAGGAAAGAATTTAAACATAATGAGCAATATATACAGAAAAAGCTATTGGAAGTGCAGGATACATTAGATAAGAGATTAGAGGGGATGGTGGGAGAACTGACAGGAAAAGTCAAAGACCTATCGGTAAGAGCCAAAGTACTTGAGGATTCTATGAAAAGGGTGCAAAAGGATACAAAAGATAGTAAGAAGGATTTGGACAGAATTAAAATAGAAGTTAAGGAGATAGGTAAGGTACAGGAAGAATTGCTGGACAGTATGGCTATGACTCAGATGAGACAGAACCAACTAAATTTAAAATTTAGAGGGATCCCAGAGGACCCAAACGAGAATATAAGATCTAAAATGGTGAAAGAGTTGGCAATTTGGTTAGATAGGAAGGAGGAAGAGATAAGCTTCTCCCTAGCAAATATATTTCGGATAAAAACAAAATCGGCTAAAGCTAGGGGGAAAAAATTGCCAGGAGATGTAATAGCCATGTTTAACTCGTTGGATATGAGGAACGAAGTATTGAAACAGAATTATAGTAAAAGGTTATATATTGAAGGAAACCCAATTATTGTATTTAAAGAGATCCCTTCGAGATTTCTTCGAAGGAGGGATGTGTATAAAAAATTAACTAACCAACTGAAGAAAAATGGGATCCTATATAGATGGGAGTTTCCGGAAGGAATTTCATTTTACTTTAAGGATAAAAGATTCAAACTGTCCAGCCCTTCAGAACTTGAAAAATTTGCAAGAAGATACGAGAAGGAACTTGGAAGGGTTGCGGGGTGGGGGGGAGGGAGGGGAGCGGCCGGGGGCGGGGGGCGGGGGCGGGGGGAGTGAAGAGGAAGAGAGAGAGATAAACTTAACAGAAGCGAGGGAAGAGGAAGAGAAAGAAGACAAAGAACAGCAGCTTTAAGCCAGATTTGATAATTTACTAATTGTACATAATAGATGGCTTTAAAAATACTGTCTTGGAATGTGAACGGACTTAACAATAAAAATAAAAGGAACCAGATTACACATATTTTATTAAAAAAAGAACCTTGACATAATCTGTCTACAAGAGACTCATGTAATAAGAAAACATAAGAGAATTCTGAATAATAAGAAACTAGGGTTGGATTTTGTGGCATCGGACAAGGTTAAGAAAAGAGGTGTGGTACTATATATAAAGGAAAAATTCGACCCAAAAATACTGTATAAAGACGAGCAAGGGAGAATGATAGTAGTACAGATTGTATTCCAAGGAATAAAAATAATTGTCGCCGGAATATACGCACCTAACGATAAAACATCGGCTTTCTTCTGAGAAGTGGGTAATCAGTTATTAGAATGGATCGATCAAAAATGATATTGATGGGCGATTTTAACGGAGTGGTGTCACCAAATTTGGATAGGTCAACAAAAAGCAAGAGACAAAGGAAGGCAAGCTACCTCGAACGTTTTTTGATTTGGTTGATAATATGGGACTAATTGACGCCTGGAGATTTAAAAACCCCACTATAAAACAATATACCTTTTTCTCAAACCCAAATCAGAGTTGGCGGAGAATAGATAATATTTGGATCTCGAAGGAGCTGACACAGAACTTAGCTAAATCTGAAATACTCCCACAAACTATATCTGACCATAATCCGGTATTTATGGAGATAAAGGGTAAAGATACTAGAGTATTTAGATGGAGAATGAATGAAGGTATATTTAATAATCAAAAGATAGTAAGGGAGGCGAAAGAAACAATCGAAGAATACTTCAAGTGGAACTTACACAAAGAAACAGCTATAGAAACGGTCTGGGATGCAGGAAAAGCCGTTATGAGGGGCTTCCTAATTCAGAAAAACAGCCATTTAAGAAAAGAAAAAGAGAAAAAAGAGAAGAGATTCTAACACAGCTTATGGAGAATGAAAGACAACTAGCTACTAAACCAGGTGACGAGACAATAAAGCAAAATTTAAAAATATTACAAGCCCAATTTTCTATGATAGTTAACCAGGAAATTGAGTGGAAAATTAAAATGATGAAACAAAAGAACTTTGAATCAGCTAATAAAATAGGAAAATTCTTGGCGTGGCAAATAAGAGAAAGGAAAAAACAAAATACGATCTGCAAGATAAGGGATGGAGAAAGGATAGTGGAAGAGCCAAAAGAAATAAAAAGGATATTTCAGACGTATTATAAGGAATTGTATAAAAGAGGAAAGGAAATAGATTATGAAATAGACCGATACCTGGAAGATCACCATTTACAACAGATTGCCATAGAAGAGAAAGAGTTATTAGACCAGAGGATTACAGAAGATGAGATAAGGAAGGCAATAAAAAGATGAAAATTGGGAAAGCGCCGAGGTCGGATGGCCTACCAGCCAAGTACTATAAAACATTAAGTGAGCAATTATTCCCAATTCTATGTGAAGTGATGAATAATATTTTAAAAGAGGGAAGGATTCCGAATACCTGGAAGGAAGCATATATTACATATATTACCTAAAAAGATGTGGATGCCTTAGAGGTGAAGAACTATAGGCCGATTTCGTTATTAAATAACGATTATAAACTGTTTGCGGATATAATGGCAGAAAGACTAAAAAGGGTATTAAAAATAGAATTCATAAAGATCAAACGGGCTTCCTACCAGGAAGACAACTAAAGGATAACGTAAGAAATTTGATAGATATTATTGAATACCTGGAAACTAGAATAGATAAACAGGCGGCCTTGATATTTATCGATGCGGAGAAGGCATTCGATAATGTCTCTTGGCGCTTTCTGATGGAAAATTTGAAAAGGATGGGGATGGGAGAAAGATTCAGAAAAGGTATAGAGGCTATCTATCATGAGCAAAAGGCAAAACTTATAATAAATAATACTACATCAGAATTTTTTGATATTTCTAAAGGGACGAGGCAAGGCTGCCCTCTGTCCCCCCTATTATTTATCTTAGTATTGGAAGTACTTACTAAGAGGCTGAGGGATACAGCAGAGGTTAAAGGAGTCAGGGTAGGAACTAAGGAACACAAAATTAAAGCTTTTGCGGATGACATTGCTCTAACATTAGAAGATCCAAAGCACAGTGTAAAAGAAGCCCTACAAAAATTGAAGAGTTTGGTGCTGTGGCAGGCTTTAAGGTCAATAAGAATAAGACTAAAATACTGACTAAAAATGTATCTAAAGAAGATATAGTAGACCTAGAACAAAAAACCGGAATTATGACGGCAAAGAAGGTGAAGTACCTTGGAGTCTGGATTACGGCTAAGAACATCAATCTATATAAGGATAACTATGAGGTCACCTGGAAGAACATTAAGAAAGACTTAGAAATCTGGGAGAGAATGAGATTATCTTTTTTGGGGAGGATAGCGGTTATTAAAATGAACGTTTTGCCTAGAATGTTATTTTTATTTCAAACCATCCCGGTACTTAAAGGTTTAAAGCAATGTAAAGAATGGCAAAGAGCCTTGGCGAGATACATCTGGCAGGGAAAAAGACCGCGAATAAAAATGAAAATACTGGTAGATAAAAAAGAAAGAGGGGGTTTCTCCCTTCCGGACTTATGTTTATACTATGAGGCGGCGTGTTTATCGTGGTTGAAAGACTGGATAACGCTAGAAAACAGAGACATCTTGGATCTTGAAGGCTTCGATAACAGGTACGGGTGGCACTCGTACCTGTGGTATGAAAAGGTGAAAGTACATAGAGGCTTTTAAACCATATTTTTAGAGGGCCAATATTCAAAGTAAGGGAAAGAAATAAAAACCTATTGGAATGGAAGACACCCTGGTGGGTCTCACCAACAGAGGTGTTAACGGTCAAAAAGTTAATATGGAAGGGAAGAATCCTACCTATGAAGAACTGACTAGGAAAACGGATCAAGGTATAAAACTTAGACCCTATGAAGAGATTAAAAACTCATTTACTGGGTGGTTGCAATACCACCAGGTAAATGACCTGTTAAAAGAAGATAAAAAGAAAATAGGATTCGAAGATAAAAAATCCAAATTCAATGTGGAAGTTGTTGAAGGAAAGAACAAAATACTGTCTAGAATATACGATATTTTATTGGAGTGGTATACAAAAGACGAGGAGGTGAAGGAGGTTATGACTAAGTGGGCAATAGACATCGGCTATAACATCGATTTTGAGAGATGGCTAGAATTATGGAATACTAACATGAAGTTCACGGCATGTATGGCATTAAGGGAAAATATGTGGAAAATGATATTTAGGTGGTACCTCACACCAGTGAAACTGGCTAAGATCTATAGGTTAAAGAACAAAAGATGTTGGAAATGTGGAGAAGTAGATGGTGACTTCTACCATATGTGGTGGTTATGCAGCAAAGTGAAAGGCTTTTGGGAATCGATTTATAACGAGCTTAAAAAATTTTTTAAATACACGTTTCCCAAAAACCCGAAGCCTTTCTGCTAGGAATGACAGGTAAAGAAATCAAAAAGAAGATAAGGTACTATTTTTATATGCCACAACAGCCGCAAGAATCATGTTAGCACAAAATTGGAAAACGGACGCCATACCTAATATAAGTGATTGGCAGATTAAATTAACAAATTATGCCGAGCTCGCTAGAATAACAGGAAGAATAAGAGATCAAGATGAACAGAAATTTCATGATAATTGGATTAAATATTGGATATATATTGGGACTAAACTTTAAACGACACTGGCGGGATTGGAATAACTCTAACAGTAAAAGGTTATTATGTAAAAGAGATAAAATACGTGAATATAAAGTCTATTTGATACTTACCAAAGGAGTGGAAGGAAGTTCAAGGCTTGGCAGAGCCTAAAATAAATGTATTTATGATTTATGGAATGAATATATTATGTGTAATTTAAGTATTGGACTTTGTATAAGTTTATATGTATATATGTATAATACCAATAAAAATTTATCAGTAAAAAAAAAAAAAAAAGGAGCTTCTCAATGGGAGTAAAAAAAAAATGGAATCTCTGCCTAGACAAGGAGATGATCCAGCCTTTCTAGCCTTTTACGTTTCTCTGTGTAGACATGGAAATAGCAGGATAAGTCCTCCCATTGCCTAGGTCAGGCATGCCCAAAGTCCGTTTCGGGGGCCTAATCCACCCCCCAGTCAGTTTAATTCAGCCCCTGTGGCAGCTTATTTCCTGGGGTAAAATCCTAAAACAACCCTCAACAACTTCAATCCTAAAAAAAAGCTGAAGCCTCCCATATTAAATATATTTTGGATGACAGGTCTAATGATATTACACTGGCCATGCCAAAGTTTCTTTCGGAAGTCAAAAGAAACAAAGATCACCAAGCTCGAGACAAAACAAAATGACCGCCTCGGTTTCTCTCTCTTTTGTGGTTTGCTGTCTTAACTATATTTTGTTCTGAATTGTTCTATGGGCCTTTGGACCTCAATAAAGATTTTATTATTATTATTATTATCATTATTATTATTATTATTATTATTATTATTATTACACAAAAAGCTCAACAACTTCAACCCAAGAAAAGCTCAACAACCTTGGAGTAAAAAAATCTGGCCCTCTTTGAAAAAACTTTGGATACCACTGGTCTAGGTAATGAAGGACATGCTTCAAGTTCTTGTTCTTGCTTCCACTAGCCTTATTGAAAACCTGGAGAGCTACTACTAGTCAGTGGTTAGATGGGCCAGTGGTTTGATGGATCGGTAAGGCAGCTTTCTATGTTCTTCATATGTTCCTGAGCATGAAGGGGAAATGGCTGTTGTCTGCCACCAAACAGAGCTTACGAAGCTGTGAAATTGCAGGGGGGCACTTTCTCCAACTTTTCACACCACTTCCAAGCAAATGAATCCATCAACAACTTAGCACAGAGAACATTCGAATCACCAACATAAATGCCTATAGTCTTGGATCTGTGAATGAAAACTCTTCTTTTTGGAGAAGGACTGGCAACTGGGTCACTATTTTGCATTCTCCATAATGAATCAGAACTAGCATTGTTCCAGGGAACTGCAGGTGTGATAGCTGGTGGAAGGGGATGGTGATAATAGTAATAATAATGTACATTAAGGGGAAATTCTGCAGTGTCCTTTTTTCTATTGAGGAGTGTGGGGGGGGGGGAGTATCTCATAGATTTTCTCAAGGAAAAAAACCTGAGAAATTTCAGCTCTGCACAGCTGAAACCAAAGATAATGCTCTTTTTCTTTTCTCAATGGGCTTTTTGTTGTAAGGACTAGATGCGTCTGGTATACATGGAGGAAAACAATCGCAAACCATCTCACATGAATCATCTGCCTCCCTGCTAGCCCAAGGACTAGGATGTTTTGAGTTTCCTGTCCAATTGAAAAAAAAGGCACTAACAATTTTGAATAAATATTGACGCAAATGACAATCAGAAGTACAGATAGCAGAGATCATGAGAGTCTGCTTCATGGAGAACCAATTACTTACCAGCGCTCATAAATACCAGGAACCAAAAGTTGTCTGAAAGGGACCCACCAGAGAAGATTTCACATGTAAAAATGGGTCGAAATAATCTAATGTTCTTAGCAACAAAATAATCCACTCTCTAAAATGTGAATATGTCCCTCTAGCTTAATGTTCCCTGTTGCATGCAAACAAGATAATTTTCTCTTTTTATTTCTCAACGCCCCCCTCCCCCTGCCAGACAAAGTAGAGATAATGAAATTCTTAGGCCAGAAAATGTAAAGTGAGGCAGGAAAAGAGAAGAGAAAATAGGGCCAGCCGTGAATAACTCAGTAGGGGAGATAACCTTGCCTGGTTCTTTCCTCTGGCAGCTGATTCCCTGCTCTGTTGTGTGGGGGTCTTTATTCCTGTTAGGATGTTTCCAGTCGAAGTATAATTTCTGTGTTTACGGCCCGCTTGCAAAAAGTCATTTGGTGTTCTTTTTCTCCCCAAGAAACACTCTGCCTTAAGCACCGGATTTTATGGATTGGCCGCTATTGTAAATGTAATCGACGACACTACCTCAAGAAAGCTTCAGGTCCTTCTTCAGATAAAATTAGATGCACATTTAAGGGGTGAGGGGTGTAATAGTTCCCCATAATTCTCTTCCCCCCCCTCCGCCTCCCTTAAACAGATGAAAGCTCAATTGCAAACCAAAGATGCCTATTCAGTTTGAGAAGAAACATATAATTACGTGCAAAATTACTTTTTCATCTATTTGCCCCCTGTAAGGCCTTACTTTGCATGTTGGCCCCCCTCCCCCTGCTTCAAAGACCAAAATCCTGAGTTAATATGGCTGAGGTGTTACTTTTCAGTCCAAAAGCAATTTTGTGCAGAGAGTGAGACCATTTGCAAATTAATGTGGAATTCTGTCTTGTTTTATGT